CACTGCAGGACTGGGTGGGGAAGGAGTTGAAATAAAGAAACAAAAATGTGATCTTCCTTTTTTTTTTTTTTCTCTCTAGGACCCTTTGGTGAACGTGATGATCAACAAGTGTTTATCCAAAAAGTTGTTCCCATCACTAATAAGCTGTTTGTAAGGCTGTCTTCAACTGGGAAAAGGTACCTCCAAGTTTTGGATTTTATAGAATCATAGAATCACAGAAGGGGTTGGGTTGGAAGGGACCTTACAGACCATCTAGTTCCAACCCCCCTGCCATGGGCAGGGCCACCTTCCACTAGACCAGGTTGCTCAAAGCCTCATCCAGCCTGACCTTGAACACTTCCAGGGATGGGGCATCCACAGCTTCTCTGGGCAAACTGTCCCAGTGCCTCACCACCCTCTCCAGGAAGAACTTTTTCCTGATATCTAATCTAAACCTCCTCACTTTCAGTTTAAATCCATTACTCCTTGTCCTGTCACTACAGGCCCTTGTAAAAAGGGAAGTGGGAAAGGAGCAGCAGTGTTCAGGTGGCAGGGTCTGCCATCCCTTGGGGATGCATGCCGTTGCACTTAGCAAGCTGCTTCTTAGCAATCTTCATTAGCCCTGGCTGAACTCTAGTTGGTGTGTTCATAACGGAACTGCACTTAACGGTGTGCTGTAACCTAGAACTCAAACGGCCTTTTGGAAAACGTCATATCGGGGACTGGCTTCATGATGGCTCACACAACAAAGGTCTGTGTGCCACTACAGAATCTGTAACTCTCGGGCACGGTACCGTGCTAACATTGGATTCCTAAACTACTGATGAAGTTGCTGGTGGCAGGGATTATGCTGCTTACAAAGGTAGATAGCGAAGCGGTTTCTCGCTTTCTTTGCATTTGTCTTTGAAGATATTAGAACCTTTAAAACTGAGACGCTGTTTTCTAGGTCAGCTATGCAATTATTTACTGAGGTTTGACTTCATAATATCCTACTATATTGCTCACAATGTAGTAAAAAAGCTGCCAAATAGCCACAGGCTGGCAGATGGCAAGACATCAGACGAGACAGTGCATCTCAGTTCGATGCTGCTTATTATTCTTACATCTTTTGCCTAATAACTTTGAATTTGGGTGAAAACATTGATGCTTTAACACTGTGGGCATCTGAACTGAGGGCAGAGATTACTGATGTGCTTGGGTTTTTTTTCTTTCTTCAGGATAGATTTGTGTGTAGGGGAGAGTTTTATTAGGTGACTTATTTTGGTGCTTCTCAGGTAGAAAGCTCTATACGAGGGGCCAGTAAAACAAATTGCCCAGAATATGTGAGGTTCTGGTGTGGAGTCTGGCTTAGCAGCCTAGTTTTGGGAGTCCTTTTCCTCTCACTCCCCACGTATGCTTCTGAAGTAAAGGGAAAAAGGCGATGGAGATGTGCCATGTCAAGTGATGTTGCAGTTGTCATAAACCAGAAGTTATCTGTATAGATTACCTTGGATTTATCATCCTTGGATTTTTTTTGCGTCTCTTCTAAACATGCTGTTTCTGCAGGTTAGTTTCCTGGCGTGCCTAGCCTGTGTCGGGGTTAGTTTCTGTTATTCTTGGGGAAGCCTTAGGGTTCTGATAATTACAAACTGAAAACAAACCTTGGACATGGGGTGGGGGTGTCCCTAATAAAAATATACAAGTAGTACGACTGCAGATGGACTGGGGGGGAAGGTATCGTCTGCAGCTGAACAGCATGCTGGTCGTGCTGGGGAAGGAGTTTCATCTTTGCAGATGAAAGGTCTTTTTCTGACGGCAAGGTTGGTGCCTTCTCAGACAATGAAAACAGTACTGACTTTACTGGTTGGTCTCTGCCAGGTGCAGTTGTTTTGGTAACTTGGGGTTTCTCTTTCTGTAGGATCTGTGAGATCCAGGCCGTGGACTGCACTACCATCTCATCATTTACTGTGCGAGAATGTGAAGGATCCAGCAGAATGGGCTCCCGGCCACGCCGCTACCTCTTCACCGGGCATTCAAATGGCAGCATCCAGATGTGGGACCTGACCACGGCTATGGATATGGTTAATAAGAGCGAAGACAAAGGTCAGTTGTGTTATGCCAGGACTGTGGTGTGTTTCTTTTTCTGTCCTTACGTGTGCGTGACTACAGGAGATAGACTTGGGGCTAAGAGCTGTCTCTTTCAGATGTTGGCGGCCCTACAGAGGAGGAGCTGCTCAAGTTGCTTGACCAGTGTGACTTGAGCACATCTCGCTGTGCCACTCCCAACATCAGTCCTGCCACCTCTGTTGTTCAGCCAAATCGGCTTCGGGAATCTAATTCCAGGTAAGGCGGGTAGATTTAGACTAGGTATCAGGAAGAAATTCTTCATGGAAAGGGTGGTGAGGCACTGGAACAGGTTGCCCAGATGCTGAGGATGCCCCATCCCTGGAAGTGTTCAAGGCCAGGCTGGATGAGGCTTTGAGCAACCTGGTCTAGTGGAAGGTGTCCCTGCCCATGGCAGGGGGGTTGAAACTAGATGGTCTGTAAGGGCCCTTCCAACCCAAACCATTCTGTGATGATTCTATGATTCCATAAGTCACCAAAGGTGGCACCGGCTGCAGACACCAAAGGTTTTACCCTTCAGGTAGGCAAAGAGGGGTTTGGTGACCTGAATGCTGTAGCTGAGCCCCTGAATCCATGCCCTAAGTGTCTTGAACTGCACACACGTACTCCTTGATTCCTGTTGGTTTCTATGTGCACAGATTAAAGTATCCTATGAGAATCCTGAAGTAAATGATCTGGAGGCCCTTGTATGGGGTCTGTGATGAGTGTATTGCAAGTTTAGTGGTGGGGGCAGGGTGTGCAGAAGAACTGGCTGCTGTTCTCAGCCTAACATCTGCTCTTCTCTTCCTCCGTGGTTCTTCCTGTTTTGAAGCCTCCAATTGCAGCAACATGAAACAATCCATGAAACAGCTACCTATGGCTCTGTGCGGCCATACAGAGAAAGCCCGCTGTTGGCAAGGGCAAGGCGGACGGAGAGCTTTCACAGTTACCGGGACTTCCAGGCTTTCAACTTGTCCAGCAAAAGCCCAACAGAAAAAGCAGCTGCTGCGAATGGGAATCCAAGCCAGCCAGAGGCCAGGAAGGCAACAGCTGAGGGCAGCGCAGCTGAGAGGAAGGCAGTCCTGACAACGGCGCTTGAAGTGCGAGGCACAGGCGTGACAGAGGCAGGTGGGTGTTGCAGTACGGAGGTTCACCGTCTGCCAGAGAGTTCTCTGGATCTCAAGAGAAGAGGAGCAGAAGAGGAGAGCGAAGCCAAAGCGGAAAGCAAAAAGAAAATGGGGTTTGAAGGAGCTGGCTTCCTGGGAAGGAAGAAAGTGCCTCTCCTGGCCTCTGCACCAGTCCTTGCTGAAGGTGGGCCTGAGTTACCTGGTGCGGCTTCTCCGTCGCCTACGAAGACAGCCGCTTCACCACGTCACCGGAAGAATGACTCCTCCTGCCAGGACTATGGCTTGTGAAAGTGTGACTGGTGGCAAAGATGAGGTGCAGGTGCCCTCTGGCTGGTAGCAAGCGTAACAGTACGTGTTGTGGGTGGTTTCTTGGGTGAACGAATGGAAATTGTGCGGTCATGAGAAAGTACCTGGCTGCCGCCAGCCCTTTGAAGAGTCGCCCGCGTCAGTGTGGGGCTTTATGTAATGCTCCAAAATGTAGTATGGTACTTGGTCCAAAATAGCGTTGTGCATTCTTGCGTACACGTGGTCAGGCATGTGGTATGTTGTGGGTATTTTTGTTTTGGGGGAAGGGAGGGTGCTAAAGGAACACTTGGTTGCTCAGTGGAAGATGCCTTTTAGACGCAGCCACACGTTGCTTCGGCAGAGCTGCTGCTGTCTTGGCTGGGGTTTGCCTGATTCAGAGGGCTGCCTCTGTTTTATGAATGGGATCCTTGCTCTGTATGCTGCTGTCTGAAATGTTTTGTGCAGGTTAAGGAGGAAGCTATTCAAAATAGCGAATTATTTTGCCTCTTAGTCCAAATAAATTGCTGGAGGAGTGTTGCTTGTGCTTTCTGAAAACGTGTGGTACCAGATGATGGGTTTTGCTGATTGTGACTGAGAGCATGGGTAAAAATGTGCTTGGCAGCATACGTGGAACTGGCAGTCTCTCGAGGGCTTCCTTGTCACTTTCTCTGGGAAAAGGACAGAGATGAATATGGGAATAGGTTTACTGTCATGGTATAATAATTCTCAATTACAAGTGCCTTGACATGATATTTCCTACCTGTGTTGCGCTGGCTGCTTGCTGTTTGCTCCTAGTTTACTGTGGGTGGTGAGCAAATGTTACTGCCTGTAGACTGGTAATACATAAGCTGAAGGGAAGGCCCTGACAGCAAGTGTTTAATAGGGTGGGTTAGGAGGTTTTCTACCCCTGAAAAAGCATGCTTGGAGTTAAGCATTAATTAATGGGTTTATGGGTTGTTCTTTTAAACTTGAGCTGAGAGGGTGGGGAAGAGGGCGGGAGAGAACGCAAAGGTTAAAGCGACTCCGTAAGAATTCCTTCATTTGCTGTTTATTCACCTGTGCGGGAACACAGTTTTGTGGTAGAGCTTTGTCGGGCCAGGAGGAGACATGGCTGCCCTGCCACGAAGGCCCCTCTTAGCCACGTGCTGGGCTTTGGACAGGTAAAAGACTTTTCCTTACCGAACACGCTGCCCCCCTCCCACCCCTACACCCTCCTCAGCTGTGAAAGATGAGAGCCTCTACCATCACAGTCATCTACTACTGTATGACTCGGGGATTTTCAGACTGGTCTCTTACCTTTCTGAGGTGTCGGCACTAACAGTTTTTACTATACAGTTAAAGAGAGGGAGGGGAAAAAAGGCTAATTTACCACACACACACACACACCCCACCTCCCCTCCCAAAAACAGTTTTAACTAGTGGGCAGGGGGTGGGGAAGCAGCAGCCCTTTCCCCTCCCACAAAGGCCATGCAGGCTGCTTTGGCAAGTTACCCTCTTCCCATTTTCTAGAGAAGGTGGCTGTGCTCTTCAGAGGTGGGTGTCAGTGAACGTGGTGTGCTCCTTGGTGACTGTGCTGAAGCCTTTGATGACATTGACAAGATCATCTTCATCTAGGTACTGTTAGGAGGGGGTAAAAAAGCACGTAAGCCAAAGCTGTACCAGACTAAAGGTGATTCCTCATTTCTCTTTCCTCCCACCCCCTAAAACCCAGTTTTGAAACTGTCAGATAAGTAGGTGCATTTCTACCCCTCTGCATGTTTTCTTATTCCTCCCAGCACGAGCTTAAAGCATTCAAACACCTGAATCCAGACCAACTAGATTTTCATAGCCAGCAGCGTTACTGCAGGTAGGTGTCCTGGGCCTCTTCAACCAGCCACTGTATTCGTTTGCGAGATGGACAAAGGGGGGAACGAAGCGTGCTGACAGCCCTAAGCTGCTGCATGCGGTACAGGGAAGAGCTGGTGAAAAGCACTGTAGGAGGTTGGTTTGCAAGAGGGTGGCTGAGCAACACGGGGCAGAGACAGGTTCAGGGACGTGTAAAGCCACTTAGGGGGAGGGTGGACAGAAGAGCCTGGCTTTGTATATGTAGCTGTTGGTTTTAGAAAGCAGCTGGGTGCACGCTGTCAGGGTTGTTTGCCACCAGAAGTAAGAGAAAGTTTTTGTTCTTCTGTTCCTACCACTTTTGAAATTCCTTGGACTACTGTCTAAACCAGTTCCAACATGCTGGATGGTGGTATGGGTGTTTGCAAGCTAAAGATAAGCACAAGATAAGCAGATAGAACAAGAGGTTCCTCCCTCAGCATTCACACAATCTCTGCAATAACTGAGCAGAGGACAGAGAGCGAGTCTCGTCAGCGACTTCTGGCACTGAGTGTGTGAAGGAGGTGAAGACATCCCTCCTCACACGTGTACATTTGCTGAAATGCATGGAAGGAAAAGCCTACAAGTTGACCAAATAGAAGGGAATTCTTCCAGCTGCATATCCCTGGTAGTCCATGGAGTTATTGGTTCAATGGGAACCATAGACAGATGCATGTGAACCCCTCACATCCTCTAAGAGCAGGGTGTGAGCACCTGCGACTCCAGGGGGAAGGATTTTGAGAATCTTATCTCTGACCATGCCCTTCTAGGACTTCTGGCTGTGTATCTCCAGCACCTTTTGATACGTGGCGCTTTTCATGATTCTAACAGAACAAATCCCGAGCAGCCCGCGGACGACGGCATCGCAGAGGACCAGGAGTCCTTACCGTGCCACGACCAGTAGCGCGATGGTTGCGAATAATGGCATCCCAAGGTGGCTCCTCAGCGAGAGACTTCTTGTCGTAGAGGTCGAGCAGCTGGCTGACACTACGATGAAGAGAGGCTTGGGAATACGTGCGGCTTAGCTGGCCCTGGCTTGGTCTCCGTGCCCCAGATGCGATATGGACATTGCAGTGGCTCGTGGGAGAACCAACTCCTGGAATTTTTGTATCTGCCAGCCCCTACAAGGAAGACACAAGCTAATACATCAGACATAAAGGGCATGGTCTGAAACACTTTATCTGGCCAAAACCAAAGCAGGAGTGGAAGAGAACAGAAACCCATGCTTCCAAAATCATGCACAGTCACAGAAAGACAAAAAATGGACCTTTCCCCATCAGACAATCCTATCATTAAAAAGGAAAAAAAACCCACCCAACCTTGTAAAACAGGACTTCCCCTGATTTTTTTTTTTCCTATCCCTAATTTTTAAGTAGCCAACAGGCAGAGGTCCAAAGATTTCTGACGGCCAGAATGCTAGCCCAGGGTTGCACAGCAAGGGGGTGGTAGCAGACTTCCTTTTTCAGTTGCTGTGACCAGGGGGAAGACATTCACCCACCAGGAGGAACATGCAGCGTGAGGTGCCATCGTGCATGCTCTGGCTCCTCTGGCACATCACACATGGTGGAACTGTGCAAGCTACCGACTCTACCTCAAAGTGCATCGTGTATCTTTTGAGAGTGACACTGCTTGAGGAATCGGACGTGTCAGCAATGGTCTCAAACTGAGAGGAGAGAGAGGGAAGAAAAGCATTAGGGCGGGCAAGGCGCAGCCGGTTCCTTACAGAGGGTGTGGATTATCTGCAGCTCTGTGAAGGCGAGCAGTGTCTAGGATGTGGGGGAACAGAGGAACTGGTGAGGCACTATTTAACTTTTAACTGTCCCTGATGTCCTGCACGGGCAGCCAGCATTGCTTGCCACGTGACCTCACTAACAATTGTAAAACATGAGGGATTTTGCCCCTTCGTAGTAGCTCTGTCCTGACTGCTCAGATTAAGCCTGTCAACAGATGCAGTGTAGAATCTTCCTTTCTATATAGTCCATGAGCTTCTGGAAAAGGAAAAAGAAGAAAAGAAGGGGCAGAAACATGGAAAGAGGTGGTGCAGGCACGCCACCAGCAAAGACGTTTTAAAGTCAGGAAGAACAACACAACGTGACAGGCTGTAGAGGAAAAGGAATCGAAACCATGCGACTAAAAAATGAAGTTTCTTATGCTCTTAGCCTTTGCCAGGAGAAGGGGCAAACTGCAAATCCCGTTGTTTCCAAGAGCTCCTTTGTTGAGGCACAGATGCAGCTTCTTGGCACTGAGACAAGAGGGAACAGAATGCGTGAAGGATGCAGGAGTCACTATCCTGCTTGATGGCGCTCACAGGAAAAAGAAGCTGAGAATTGACAGGAAGAATCATCTCACAGCCTGTGCCTGGGAAGGTGCACAGAAACGGAAGGCACTGCTGCTCCCAGGCTCAAGTCTCGTAAGAATTGCCGTATTCCTTTTGCCTTGCTTTTCCTCAAAGGGAAGGACACTACTGCTCTGCTACATAGGGCAACATGTTTTTTACCCATCTTTTTACAGAATTATAACTAATAAAAATGAGACAAAGCCTTCCTCTTTATAGCAGTCCCCCTCCCACCTTTCCCCTGTCCCAGCGTGGCTCTATGTGCACAGATGCACACACAGATTTTGTGAAGGTCCCCAGCTTCTCCCTGGTTGCACTCACTCTCCCCCAAACCTCCCTGGCATGCAGCTCATCCTACAACAGTCCAGCTGAGCGGTGGGTGGATACTAGAGAGAAAGTAAGTCCTAAGTCCTGCCTTTTGCAGGCGCCTTTCCTGGATACCTGACAAAGACTTGCGGGAGGATCCTGGTTAGCCACCCACCACAGACAGGTGGGAACACAGGAAAGGTTCCTCTGAACAGCACATTTTGTCCCCTACCTTCTCACAGCGTGCCAAGGCCTTTTCAGCTCTAGCACAGATGTCGGCGCACATCAGCTGACGTCGGTGGCTTTGCATTTTCCAAAGGTTGTCACAGGCATCAGAAGCCTTTCAGGGCCTGCAGACCAGGTGCCACAGGGCTCTTTTTGGACTTAAGCATCTGTCCCCTGGCTCTCCGTGTCCGTGTAGGTACACCAGACAGCCCTTTTCCTATACCCAACAGCCCCTTCATTTGGTAACCAATAGTGCAACAATGTGGTGGCAGGAGAAAGACAAACTGTGTGTTTGGGGGGGCAGATAAAAGTGTAACATGATGGATACTCAACATTGCGTTTTACTGGACGTACCGGGTGGGTTTCACCTGATGAATACACACTCATGGGTGACGTTCTTTTCTGGAGCGGAACTAAAGGAGGTCTGTCTCGTGCATAGGGTTGCTTGTGGACTTTCCTTTGAAGAATTAAGGAGAGAAGGATAGCCAAGAGGATCAAACCTAGAACGACCATCAGCACTGCAAACCACAACTCGTTGTAGAATTTCGCACGTTTGGACTCCGCTTTGTCCTTCTCTCCAGGTGTTGTCAAGATCAGACCTGTAAAAATCAAGAGGGATTAGGGCAGAAAGAGAATGTTATTTCAGAAAGCGTTTAACAATATGCTGTCCCTTTCCTCGCTAATAAATTAGGCAGAAATTTAAGTAATTTTGTCGTCATGTGCTTATTTGCACTTATGTTCAAGGTGGCATAATGGTTCAATATGCTAGCGGGCTATAATAAAAAGCTTACTGCCCTCCAGAGACCCTGCTTAAAGTTCTGGCATTGCTGCTCAGGCTGGAAATCACCACTGCATCAGCAGCTCTTGAGAAAGGAGGCGGTGGAGGTAGAATGCGAGAAAAGAAGGGTTCTCCAAGTAACCTTGAGGAGTGGAAATGACTACAGTAATTTCAGAGTGACACAGACAGAGGACATTCTCTCCCGCACTGTGTAGTGGTAGGCCTGAGCAGTTAGAGAGAGAGGAAGACTGAACCAGAATGAGTGATAAATTAATACAGATGCAAGGAACGTGAAACTTTATTCCTCCTTCCCCCACCTGTTAGAAACAAACAGCCACTTGGTTGGCTTTGCTCGTACACAACCCAAGTGTAAGAAATCTCAGTGACAGGATTTCCTGGCTCTGTAACCCCACATGCAAATCCAGACTCCTTGCTAAGGGATTGCCATCGTCACCTTCGCTTGCCAGCCTCGGCTGCAAGTGGCCTGTGGTGCTGAGCGAGTTTGCCGCACACTCTGGGTACAAACAAACAGAACAAAGGAGCAGAGTGTGGGAGGTGATGGGTGTGGAGTAATGGGGAACATTTTATAACACCTTTACAGCATCCTTGCCTGAGATTCTGCAGGAGGGTGGAGTGAGAGAATGAAAAGGGATGTAAGGAAAACACAAAGAGTAATTGCAAAGACAAGGCCCAAGATGCACCTCAAAAAAATAAATAAATGAATTAAAACCAATATGTCAGTTAGTTGGAAATGGTTTGTGTTTAGCTTTGCTTCCCAGAAAGCTAAGGAGGTAAAATCCTAAAACTTTTTACTGGTAGGCATCTACTATTCAATAGACAACAACTGTCTGGGATTTCATCGCACCAAACTCCTCTGCTTCCACGACACAGGCAAAGGCCTCATGGACAGAAGGGAAATGGCAGGTGTTATAAACCAGGTCCTGAGAGCATCTCGTATGACGTTCTCATCAACCGGGCAGGGGGACACAGCCCAGCTGGCACTGCAGAGGCTGGCGGGTTGGTGGGCAGGCAGGAGGGGGTGGGTGCCCCTTGCTGGGATGGGTGGGATGCAGGGAGGAGAGAGGATGAGTATTTTCATTGTCACACTGAAGAGGAATGTGGGAGGACAGGGTTAGAACTCAAGCTAGTCTTAATTTGGAAATAGAATCTGGAAGAGAGCAGATTCTATTCAGGAGAAGAAGGCACTCCATCTTAGAGCTAAACATTTGTGTAAAAATATAAGCAAAAAGACATCTGGAGAAGGGATCTGAAGCTGATCGTGTTGTAAAGAAACAGAAAGCCATCCGTGGCAAAAAAAGGCACGTTACCTACATACCTCATACCCTAAAGATACTAAGGAATCCCCTGGTCATGCAGTGAGATGCCATCCTGTCTGGCATGTGCAGAATATCAAATTTCTGCCACAACCATGTAAATCCATAGGTGCTAGGTAGTTTCTTCACGTACTTACCAACTCCATCTCCAGCGCTGTACTTGATGACCGGTGTTGTGGCGCTCCCTTCGTCGGTGATACAGGTCACTTGAAACAAAAAGGCTGAGCAAAAAGAAAATGCTGTCAGCAGGCAAAGCCAAATTCTGGAAGTCCTGCTTTGTCACCATGATCCACCAGTACAGATGGTCTGAGAGGAGCCAAGGCAGGCACAGCACATAACCCGTCATAACCCACCCGTGTCCCAGACCAGAGCTTCACAATCCCTTACACCTGGGCATTCCACTTCTAAATTATGAACCGTGACAGGTCGTCGGCACTGTCACCGCTACGACGCTGCCACTAATTATATTCCTCTTTCACCACCCAATCCTCCCTCTCCCAGTGACATGTAGCTGTCAACATCCAATTTATTCATCGTTTTGTTCTAAATCCTTCATATTCCGTTCATGCCTGATACAAAAATGTTAACAATGTTTGATTAAAAAAAATACGTATTAGCACCACTGAAGGAAAGTTAAAAAATAAATGACAAAATCCTTTAAAATACAACACCCCCCTTAAAACCAGAAAAGATTTTTTTTTTCTTTTCTTCACCCTACATTGATAAAGTTTCCTTTTATTTTAAAGGCTGCAAATTTCTGGAAGAGAAACTAAACTTCATAACATGGCTGATTCCAGAGTTTTTTAAAGAAAAAATCAGGCTCCAGTCTTTTCTGAAGACTTCCTTGCGTTTCCCAGAGTGTATCCCTGAAGGGTGGTATTGCAGTGCAGCTCCAGGATTTGGGAAAGCTCAACCCTCAAACTAAGCCAGAGCAGTCTCACCCAGCCAGGTAAAGCACTTAAGAGGAAGCTTAGCTCCCAGGATTTCTGTTTCATGCCTCTGCTCAGATGCACTTCAGTAATATGCTCCTGTCCTCTTTGCTTGGGATGGCTACAGAGCGTTTTCCCTAAATTTAGCACACAATAATATTAATTTAGCTCAAGGTCCTTTCACAGAGAGAAAGCTGTAGGAAACAAACTGACTTTTGTCAGATGTCCTCGGTAAGTACAGCTCTGTGTCGAAGCCGCTGTAGATGCGCTGCCCGCTCTCCGTGAGCGCGTACTCCTTCAGGCGGCCGTTCAGGACAAAGGTGCGACTCCAGTCGATGTGGATGGTAGATAAATTGCTGACAATGGAGAATGGAGCCGTGTACCGAGGTGCTGCAAAAGAAGGAAAAACTGCTCATTTCTAGGCTTACAGGCATGACTGTTGTACTGTGCAGAGGAAAAGACTCTGTACGATACAAGCTCCCGGTCGCATACACTCCCTCTCTCTCACATAGCCATGTTTATGAGAAGGGAAGACAGAAGGAGAAAAGTTGCCGTAGCATGCCGGCCTCTACACTGAGAAAGTGGAAATACCTCATATCTTTCAAATGAAGACCTGGTTCTCCCTTCATTTGCCTCAGTCATTGTGGTAAAAACCATACAATTTGAATTCCAGCTTAAGGTGGGGACAGGGCGACACAGGAGGTTGTGCTAGCGCAGCTGCAGCATGCTGGGCTGTGGGAACCGCACTGGTAAGGAGAGGACTCTTACAAGCCCCAAGAAATTGCCCAAGATCATCTTTTAACACATGAATATACATGAAAACATGGGGTTTCAGAAAAGCAAGAGCAGGTGACAGGCAGAGAGAAAAGAAATCTGGCACTCACTTCAGGGAGGAGGAGTTCATCAGCTGGGCTCAACAGCTCGTGACAAAAGCCTTCATGTAGGTTTGAGGTGGTCCTTCCTTGTGGCTCTGCCATTAAGCCACACGCCCAGTATGTGCTCGTAAGAAAGCTGCTTGTTCAGCTGCACATTGCTGCTAACTGCCTGCGCTGCCACTAAAGCAAGCCTTCCGGGCAAGAGGAAGGAGACGTTCGGAGTGACTCAGGGGACCTGGCGCCAAGAGGTCAGCAAGGCAAGACAAGCAAGACTGACAAAGGAGGCCTGCCAACCTAGTGGGTGGGGGTTTAACAACGGCTTTCAAACCCTTGTGTCCTGTATGTCTCCCAGTTCATTATGAATTCTCTCTATTTAAAAGTTCATTATCATGTTCCAGCATTTTACTTTGCAATTTAATAGAATACAGCTGTAGAGATAAGGACCTTTTTCTTTTTTTTTCAGTGGTGACATTAAAGAAAATCTGGGGTTATTCCACCTGAAATTTTCAGCTAAGGTTGTAGCAGATACCTTTTTAGTAATTACTAGGCAGAACTACCAAGTTATGCAAAAAGGATTTTTAGAAAGGTGATTCTGAAATCCTGACTTGAGACTATGTGGGAAAAAGTGACTATCCCCTTTGCCCTGACCTGGCAAGCTGAGGTGAAATGCCCATCTCATCTGTTATGGAATGACTCTGGCTACAGCACTATAGATCTTTTCAGTAAAAGCTGATGTTAGACTGCTACAAATTCAGGGTTGATGACAAAATCTATCCTGACTGTAGGCACAGGTCCTGCATGTTAATTTTCCACGCTGACCACCACCTGGCCTTAAAGTACTGCCTGTGGTGGTTAGAAAGGTAGCAGTGAATTCTTACTTCGTTGGCAACAAGGATCCGATCATTCAGATGACATCCAAGGAAAACTCTCCACGAGCCCTGGCAGAAGTGTGGCATGAATTAGGACAGTAAGATTCTTCTTGAAAAGAATCACCAGGTCTCTTTCAAAATCTCCACTTTTCCTAGGTATTATTTATGGCAAGGTATTTATTACTACACATCACCCTTCTGGTAATACTCGAACATTTTATGTTCCGCAGCTTTGCTGCCCATTCTCAGTAACACAATACATTTCCAGGCTCCCAAGACAGAGGATGTGACATCAGAGGATGAGCAAATAATTATTTTTGAAGGAATGAGCAGCCAAGCCCCAGAGCAGAATTTCAATGAGTGGGCAGCAGAGACACAGTGACCAAAGAACAGGTTTCTGAGGACATCAACTTTTACAGGGGTGGAGAAGTCATGTGATGCTCTGCAGCCCCGTGCATCAGAAGCCAACATTGCTCATCAGTGAACAACCAGTTCTCATACTCACGCTCCTTTTCCGTAGTGAACCCAATCCATTCTGAGGCGCTGCTGCCAACAGAGTTGTAAGACACGACTCGCAGGTTGTAAGTTGTGTAAGGCTCGAGGTTGGACACGTTAGCACTCTGGCCTTGTCCTGTATACTTCACCTCAGTTGGGCCAGGACTGCAAGCCTTCACTGCTGGCTGTAGGTTCAGGGAACAAGCCATATACACATGGAGCTCATAGCTGAGAAGAAAGTTGTGATTTTGATTAATCAAGAGCCTTAATAGTAGCCAACCATATATTTCATCCTACTTGCTGCGTGTCTGGGTACTACAGAAGAGAATGGACCTGATCCCACTTTTTCTCTTGGAGATCAGGATTTGCCTTGCACCTGCCTCTTCATTGCCAGTTGGTCTCACAATATTTTGGCTGTGCAAGCACAGCTGTCAGACAGTTACCTCCACTCACAACAACTCGTCCTCTCTGCCTTCATTCCCCCCAATATCCTGCTCAGAAAAAAAGCAATTGTTGCACGTAAACACACCCCAGGTAGCATTTTGCTCACATGAGGTATCAGCGACCACACTGGGAAGGAGGAGAATAGCTGTCACAACCACCCAGTGCTCTCAGCAATTCCAGCTCACACCCAGGAAAATTGTTCTGCCACCATCCCTAGCTGAGGTGGGCAGCTTTAGCTGGGTGGCATTTCCTACCTGGTGACAATGCCATTGGGTGACTGAGGGGCACTCCACTGGAAAGAGGAACAGTGCGGATCTGTGGGGGAGGCTGCTCTGAGGGTGGAGCCGGCTGCGTGGTGATTTGGGCCGTGGGTCCTTTGGTGCAACAGTTGAAACAGGTGCAGGCCTCCACGCCAATGGAGTATGTGGTAAAAGGTTTCAGCCCATGTATTGTCTGCTGGGTGGCAGTCCCTTCTGACAGCTATACAAATTAAGAGGGAATTTGTCACAACTTCAATCACCACAAGTACTACGTAAGAGTTATGAAGGTGAATTAAGTCCAGAAAAAGACGGGCATGAGGTTCTACATGTCCTTTAAGTCTGACATTAATGCAGCTGTTGTGTAAGGGGAACTCTGCACTCATTTTTCTCCCATTACGAAGTCAAAGGGCACTCACTGTTCAAAGGGAAAGACCATACCATCAGTGGCCTCACAAGCACCTTGAGTTGAGCTGTGACCACCGTATGTCAACTTGCAAATGCCATTCTCAGGAACGGAGAAACAAGGAGCTCTAAGTCAAGGGCCAGCGTAATGCTGCTGTGCACTCACATGGCCATGGTGCTGGGTGGGCCTGTCAGGAAACTCCTACGCTCAGTACGGGAGACCTGCTGTAAAAGGAAATGGTGCCCTTGTTCTGAAACTGGTCACAGCAAATGCCACTTCACGTCATTGCTGTAGTCATTTGCGGGTATAGCTTCTTAAGCCAAAGAAATAAAAATATATGGAAAACAGCAACAAGGGGCAACATCTGCTCCCATTTGGCAGCATGTGATTTAGCAGAGTGCAGCAAGAAAGTAGGAAGGAAAGAGTCAAGCAAACAAAGGAAAGCACTTGGTACTTCTTGACGCCAGAGCCGGAGAGGAGCCAGCAGCATGGCAGGCGTGAGGGGGTAGAAATGGAGGGCCACACAGGCACCAACGAGATGAACTGGCTGGATCAGGCACAGCCACAGCAACTGCACTGGAAGGAACAAACGCATAATGTGCAATTTGTAGGCAGCTTAAGCTCACAGAAAGGATTGATGACCTGGGAAAGTGCCCCTAGCACTTCCAAGCTGAGCAAGATGGGACAAGGGAAAAAATCCCATACAAATGTTTACCTACTTATAAAAATCAAACAGATGGTGTTACAGACAAAAACTATTCAAGTATTTGATTTGGTGGTAAATGTTTCAGGCACCTTCCACCTTTCCCCACATCTCCCTCTTCTACAACTCTATTGAAGCCCTGCAGGTTCCCTAAGCTGAGTGCTGTTGTTTCTGGACACCTAATGATGTGTAGGCTGAGACATCAAACACAGAAGTTGTTCTTTGGCTACTTGCACTATTCTTCTGTACTTTACCATTAAATACTTCTTACCAACAAGAAGGAAAGGGAAAGTCATGTACAACACTTTCTGCTGAGCTTCAAGTCCATAGGCCAGCCAAAGAACACAACCATTACCAACTGGCTTCAGTTTCCAATTGCGCCATTTGGACTGGCAGGAGCTGTCTGAAAGTGTTTTGTTTGGATGGTTAGCCACCCCTGAACAATACTCCTGACTACCACCACATTGTCACAGCACATCTCCACATGAGAAGGGTTTAATGATGAGCTTAGGTCCTTGAGAAGCATGACATTTAGGTGGGCGAAAGAGCTGGTGGCCCTTTGGCCAGAAGAGAGCATTGCAGAGCAGTTAACAGCAGGAGTGCAGGAGAGGAAGACCGTGTGCAACAGCAGTAGCAGCTTGAAGAACAAAATAGTTGAAGCTAGAAAACAGAAACAGTGTTGACAATACTTACCACCACATCAGTCCCCCTGGTATCGTTAGAAAACAGTCTGTAGATACTGACCACACCGTTTGGCTGGAGAGGGGGGCTGATGTTCACCACGGCCACTGTGGATGCCACTGTGTTGAAGAGGGGAGCTCCCAGGCCCTCAGGAGGGGCAGGGCCCGTCCGGCAGCGGGACCAGCTGCTCGGCGTCCGTCCTGCTGAGTTTACCGACCACACCTTCGGCACACAAAAACAGAGAAACGGTTAGCAGAGGACTCAAGCCTACAAAACATCCATGGTTAGCCAGGGATGCTGCTGCAGCTGTACTGACACTGAGAAAAAAGTAGCGCCATGACACCCATGGAAAATATCCCTTGATGGCTGTCCAGCACCTGTGTTGACCAGGTGACTTTCCACCTGAAGAAGGAAATATTCCCCACTGCTGCATTTAGGGAAAAGAAGCAGATTTCATGTCTCAAGCACTGTGTCCTCTTCATACCTGATCCTCAAACTCTGCATCCCCACCACTGTCCGTCATGCCATACAAAGAGGACTCCTTCAGAAGCTGCAAACAACAGCAGTGATGTTTTCAAAGACATCCGAACAACAATACTGACATCAGTCCTGCTAGTTTCTTCCTTTTACAGATTTCCTTCATGCATGCAAGCAGCCCAGCCCCAGTGCATTCAGCCTGGCACCGTGTGACGGTGAAGTTATGTTCACCTTGACTGAATTGCAAAAGCCAAACTCTAATTAATCACTAAAACCAGAAAGTTTTACAGGCATATTCTTCTCTTAAAAATTTTATTGTATCAATCAATTGGTAACATTTTCAGTAGCCCATAATATAAATAAAGCCCACTGAAAAGTGTGGTTAAGTCAGCATCCCTCATTTATTTTCACAACATTTCTTTATTGCATGAGCACAAAGGCAACATCTTCAGTTCCAAGATTTCAAAATCTAGCTGCTTGAATTAGGCCTGATTAAAACCCACATGTCTCTATGAACTAAGCCTACTGATTTTGTCAGCTTCCCAAAACCAGAGTGATCTGCAGACTACATAAAACTCAGCACTTATTAAACACACTCTCCAACAAATCTGCATGAAAATTAAATTTTGCTTTCATCAAGGAGTAAATAAACATATGGAAGGATGTATAATCTTATTTATCAAAAACCATTTGTATAATTAAACACGAATATTGTAAAAGGTTGCCTTAGGTCGTCATTTGCATGAGTAAGTAATTTGTAGAATGTCAGGTACAATAGACAGAATAGATGGATGCGTGAGCGTATAGGGTTAAATTAGGCTCAATATTAGCCAACCACATAGTGATCAATCAGAATGATAGATCTAAATGGCAATACAAGAGGACTGTCTGAGTGATTTTTTAGTATAAGTATTCCTTAGTAAGCTTTCATGTCCAGTGGTTCTAACTACAGTAAAACCCGTTCTTATGTGATCTATGCTGGGCAGAGGTCCTGGGGAAGTGAATGGTGGGGCTGTGCCTGAAAAAAAAATAGGAGGTTTAGAAATAAGAGGTCTTCAAAACAGACTCTGGAGTCCTTTCAGCTTGCAATATTAAGTTCCAAGAAGACAGGATGCTTCACAAGGGACCCGGGGAAGGAAAAAGGCCAAAAACCACCACACTGGCTTTGAAGACTGATTCTGCCAGTTACAAACTCAAAGTTCCTGCCTGATTCCAACAGTAATGTGTGACACCATACAGTGGAGCACTACGTAAGTACAGATGATGCCCTATGATAAAAAGTTCAGCCAAAGCACTTTCATTTTCAGTGAAATCAGTAATATATCTCTGTTGTGAACATTCTGTAAAGTCAAACTCTCTTCGCTTTACTGCAGTAGGTCAAACCTTCTATCTCAGTTCAGTCCCAGCTGCTACAAAGGTTTGCCCAGAGTTGTTCATTTGAAGAGGCATATTTCTTTGTGGAGAGAATAAGCCACATATGGAAAGAGCAGCTCTGAGTGTGCCACTGGCATTGACTCAGTGCTGACCTGAGTTCAAATGCTCCAGTTATAACCAGGCTGTGTCCTTAATGAGCATGGAGCGTAACAGTGTCAGACCTGACCTGCCCAGCAAGCTGCTCACGGCAGAACTGAAGGTGATGAGTTAGGAACAGAGGCCTCCTGTGTAGCACAGGAATTCAGCCTCAGAATGGGGTCCCCTAAGAAATTTGGAAGACAGAGAGATGCATGTCACCTCACTGAGAGCTGTATGGATGCACCTTCCTCCATCAACCCCTCTCCCGTCATAGATGCCTACACCTTGTCTTTCAGAAAATAAATCTTATTTCACACAAACAAGGGCTCACTCTTTCATAACACTCGCTTAGGGCAAGGGAAAAGGGGATGCTTATCGCCTTTCACACTGCAGCTAAGTGGTTAAAGGGCTCCTTCACAAGGCGGGTAATTTACGCTCAATCATGCGTTCCAGTGGAGGGAGTCAAGCCTGTCCCCTCCAGACACCTCTGGAGTGGGAATGCCCAAGCAGATGACCCATCTTTGTACCTGGGGTGTTCCTGGGCTCCCTTTGGGGCTGTTTCATGGTGCATGAGCACAGTGAAATCAAGGTTGACTGGGCAGAGCACAAGCAGGTGGGAGCAGACACAGTTACCCAGCCCTTCCCATGGGGGTAATGGGGACCTGAGGTTGCAATCTGTCCCCCAGGCTCCACACGCCTGCTCCTCTTGAAAAAGGCTGAGGTCACAGCCACATGCTTGTGGGACTGACGGAGAGGCATGCTCTGAGCATGCTTCCCAGACAAACACAGCTACTCGGCCCTGCCAAGCCACATTTCCAGCAGAAAACCTCTAGGTGTCTGTGAAAATCTCTAACGCCAGCTTCTGAGACAGTTGTGACAGCTGAACAGGACTTCTGAGGTTCTAAATTCTGGATTTACACTAACCTAAGCTGGATTCCCTTAACTCCCTCTGCTTCTGCTCAACCATCTGTAAAGGGATGGATGGCTATAAAAATATTGCCCTTTGAGAATTGCTGTCCAAGTAAATCCTGGTCAGCGTTTGGAGACTTGGAGCAGTACGTGCCCAGAACTGACTGCAGATGGAAATGCTGATGTTTAGCCGCTTCTTTGCATGAAGAAATGGGACAGCATGGCAACAGAAACCACAGTGAGGAGTGCCTGTTAAAATCAGAGGTTTGATCATGGCTCCTCAAAAAGTCACCACAAAATGGTCACGGATGAAAGCTGTTGCCTGGCTAGCCTGGTTAAACTGAAATTTCACAGTCTGGACTTTTGTAAAAGGTTTTTGTTCCCACAAAAATTCCTCCTAAATTGTGATATAGTCAGCACCAAAAAATATTTAACTATGTTGGTATAGAAATGTAAAGAGCTTAATAGGCAGCAGTATTACCTGCTGCTTATAATGTAAGAAGATTATAAAGAGCCCACAGGCACATGGAGCAAACAAGAACCGATCACATCTCAGAGATGTAGTGAATGGCAAAGCACAGAGAGCAGAATGCCAGCAAAAGTTTCTTACAGCTTGACTTTCTGAATACACTCCCTCCGAAAGCATTAAGTCTGACATCATGGTGCATGGCTCAGCACCCTGCCAAAAGGTGTGCTGCTGTTAATGGCTGCACTGTCCCAAAAGTGCCAGGAGAGGGCTCTGAAATCAGCTCCATGGGTCACTATTTAAAATGCTTTATCAATCTGCTGGCCCCTGGCCCAGACCGCACTTTGAAGTGGAGCCAGAGACAGGAGGGGAGACCTCTCTGGAGACCATATATTCAGAGTAGTGAAGAATTTCAGTTACAGGTAACTAAGCTTGTGTTTTTTTCCATCAGAAATGTGCCTTCACAGATTTCTCCTCCTGGAAGAAACCAGTGACCAGCCATTGCTCAAAATGATCACAGGACAACCT